CAATCAATGGGCTATTTTTTGGACACATGATGTTACTTGAAACCTTGTAAAGTCATGGAAAGTACTGAATTCAGTCTGTAGTAACTGGAACAAAATTAATTCAGTTCTAGGACTGAATTAATTTTGGTGTAGTTACTCCAAGTCGAATAATAATGAGCATGAGAAGTCATTTCAAAGCCTCCAATATCGGACTGGACGGGATTTCAAGTCCGCGCAATTAGTTCTTCCGCTTCACCTCGGACTGGAACTAATTGTGCGGACTCGAAATCCCGTCCAGTCCTCGATTGTCGGCTTTGAAATATATTATATTACATAGTGTTGTTAAAAGTAAAATAATTTTTGAAAAATTACTACCATTGATACATTTCTTAATACGTTTAAACACGTGATCATCCCGCTTACTTGGTAAAGAGGGCCATTAAACTGCATCTAAGGCTCTATCGCTCTCACCAATTCCAGTAACTATCCTTGCAGCACGCAGCTGGAGTCTCTCTAGAGATGTAGCATTTCCTATGCCACAGCAATTTCAACTTTTTACACTCATGTTCTCAGGATTTTATATTATTCATTCGCCTSCCATTCATAACAGTGTCCTTAGGGTTACTGAACAGATTGTCCTGGATAAATAAAGGTTTCATTTCATTCATTAGGCTGGACATTCAAAGCCAAGTAYTCGTAGTAGTATGAGAAAAGAAAAAGGACAATGTGAGTATGTTATGTTGTATGTGAAGTGGCTTCCACGGTGTTACAAATATTTCCTGTATTTTTTAAGCTATGACAAACTTATCAGTCAAAGATGCTGATTTAAGAGGAGAAAGCAAGGAAAATAAAGACTCTGGAAGCAAAACAGCACTTGCTAGGCGTGCATCAGGCTTATCTCAAAAGGGGTATAGAGCTGGAGAGGTACTGGAGAAATTTTTTAATTYCTACACATTCATTTTCTACCTATGACTTTTGTAACTGTTTACTTTCACTCAAATGTCATGGTTAAAAGATATGTCCATTTTCAGGCACCTACTTTCCCAAATCCAGGGATGTTAACCAAGATGGGTAACCATGGTAACAAGACTGTTGCTGCATCACATTCTTCAAAATCAACATCACCACTGCCATTTAGAAGGTAACATCATGCATGTTATTATGCATGCGTTTAACTTTAATTCTTGAGCTGCATTTTTTTCTTTGAATAGGAGTCTCAATCCAAGCCAAGATGAAGGGGATGACAAAAGCATGTATGTAATAAAGTTCCTAGGGCAGATACTGTTAAATATGATTTCACCAGCAATAAATGAATCTCTGTCCCCCTTTCTATTTGAAGGTCTGGTGTGTCACTTGAAGGTTCAGGAGATGAAGACGATGAAGAAGGAGGTACAAATTATCTCGTTATTTTACTTTTTTCTTCCGTAGTAGTCGTATTTTATTTAGTTTACAGTTGATTTTTCTTGTTCGTTTCTTTTGGTTTGTAGTTTTCACAGGAGAAGGCTGGACAGACTCTGATCTTGACATGAAAGAAGAACCCGATGCTTGGAATTTAACCGTCGATAAGAAGGTACAATCAGAAGCCCTACGTTTTCATGATCTGCTGGGAATAAATTACTGTGCTTGCTGGTAAACCTGATGCAGAATACTACTTCAACTTTAATGTTGTATATTTTTCTTTATTAGATCCTTAAAAAAATGACTGCAAAGGAAATAAAACGACAGGATGTGATACATGGTAAGTGAAATTTGTATATCTACGATCTTTATACGAATCTATATTTCAAACACGTTTCGTTCATATAAACTGACATAGTTTGTAGAGGGGACTACTGCATAAATTATGAAAATAGTAACGCAAGAACCAAAAAAAAAAAAAAAGAAAGAAAGACAACGTTTCGTACTGTAGGTTTTTGACTACCAATGTAAGTCATCTAGTCATTATAGTAGAGTATCTCGTTTTATTTCTTTCAAATAGAGTACATAAATATCTCTTCCATTAAATTCTCTTCTATTACAGAACTAATACAAACAGAAGTTCATTATGTTCGAACTCTAAAAATAATGYTTAAGGTAAGAAAAGATTGTTTAGGTGAGTCTGAGTGAAGAAGGAGAGAGGCTATAGAATCGATTTTGTATATAACTAAGTTCAAAATTATCGTTATRAATGTAATGTTGTACGAGTTAAGCACGTTTAGCCACAGGTAGACCAAGCTGGCTATTAGCGTTGATTTATCCTCAAAATACAGTTTTTAAAAAATAATAATAAATTCTCACAAATAAAAGTCTTACCTGTATTTTGAGGGTAAATCAACACTAATAGYCAGCTTGGGCTATCTGTGGTTTAGATTTGTGGAATTTTATATCTTGAACGAAATAGAGCACAAACTCTACTAGACTGCGAGCTAAGTCCCTCTATTTCCTTTGGTCACTGTCCATCTGTCTGTCCGTGTCGATTGGTAGAGGAAGATTGGTTACGAGTCAAAAATCCCTGGGGGAGGAGGCTATAGTCTAAAACTCTACCTCCATTTTGTTTTCTTTGCACCTACACCTGCGGTTCCCAAGGTCAGCCGAAGTCACTGGAGAGTGAAGTTCAATCCAAAACGTCGAGTTGAAAATAAAAATCGTCGAGTTTGTAATGTGAAACTCGTACGAGAAATTCATGGCGTGGAGTTTAGAACGAATCAGTGACAAACTCGAATATAAAACTTCAATGACAAATAGAAAACACGTATGTTGAAACCTTGATGAAGCATGTAGAATACGAAATAGCAATATGAAATAAGCTACTAGAGTGTAAAATTTATGTGATGAACTTCAAATTCTAAGTATTAGGAGTTTTAGGAGTTAACTGTACTCCACTTGCCAATCAGAAATCGAGTAACTTTAATGAGTGTATTATAATAGTAAAAAAAAGTAATCTGTGCCCAATGCACCTTTCAATTCGACGACGTAGCTTTACCCATATTTTACGTGAACAGATGATCTAGCTAGATCCTAGTCATCAAACTTAAAAATCCCCGTCATATCACGGCTCCACTTATTAAAGTGCGCGTTTTTGATTTTCTAACCAAAGTTCAAACTTTTTGATTTTCTAAACAAAGTACAATATTTTTTTACGGGTAATAACATACATGAAAAAATTACTCAATTCTGATTGGCTTAGAGCAGTGTTGTTTTAAAACAAAATACAGTGCAGAAAACTGTAATTCAGTGCAGCAAAGTGTAACACAGCGTACCCTGCGAGCAGAGTCTCCTTTTAACTCCTCTACGGGCGAGAGAAGGAAAGGAGACTCTGCAGAAATCGTGTAGAATGTTATTTGAGCATGCGCAGCGGTTGCTAAGAAACTAACTCGTTCACAAGCTCACTCGTTTTATAAATGGTTTCCGGTCCTGGTCCKAACACGATTGCCGCTTCAAAACAAAACTCGTTTTTAGAGTCATGACATCAGTGAAAGATGATCTYTTGTTCTTCTTTTACTGCTTCAATTTCATCAAGCTTAGCAGCTTGGAGCACTAGATTTTCACAAGCAGAAATTTGGTCGCTCATCAGTGCCTGGGGTGGAGTTATTACCACCAAAAGAGGATTCTTAGGGTATCGACTAGTGTTTGGATCGATTTCTTGAAGATGTTTGACAATCGGAGTTACAAGCTGGACAATAAGTGACTTTTCTTGACCTGTCGGCAGCGAAACAAACGTGTCTCTGACATCCATAAAACTTTCTAGCGATTTCCTTTGATGARTAGTTGGTTGGAATTGGTTTTTATTTGATAAAACGTGATTTAGATCGCTTTCGAAATTACGCTGAGTTTGACATACGATGCGGGCTCAATTTTGGTCATCATTTTTTAATACAGACTCGCGCATCAAAACCAGTTTAAACCAGTATGAAACYTGAAAGCCAATAAGATGACAGATTTTTATGGCKAAAAATTTGAGGGAAATTTAGCAAATCGAGGTGAAAAAAATGGCAGCCATTTTATCTTAGGTAAAAGTGAGCAAAGATTTTACAGATTTTACTATCAAACATCTAAAAAAACAGTTCAAGAAGGCACAAGTAAACGTACTTCGTCATGGYTGAATATATGGAAGAAATAGTGAGAAGAAAACAAAATATGACATAGTGAATTGAGGAAAATGAGCCAGCCGATCTAAAGAAAATACTCGAGCGATTCTTTGCTGAAGTATAGCAAAAACTAAAACAGCAATATTTTGGTCTACGAAATCCCAAAACTGAGCCGCGAAGTTTTCCGAACACGTTCAACAACTGTCCGGTATAATTTTTTTCAATGTATACAGCTCCAGTTAGCTGCAAAGACAGCCAATCCAAATGTCTTCATTCATAGTGATTCAGATTTACTTTGCGGTAAAACAAAATTTTTTACAATCAACATATAGCCAAATTTTGGTTTAAGGTATTAGGATACGRAAATTGACGAATTTCTCAAAAAAAAATTTTTTTYTTCTTTTTAATTTCGTTATTTTAAACTTTTATCTTTCATATGTTTGTGAAACTTCTTGCAATTTTTGATTGGAAACGCCAAAATTTTGAGAAAAATCGAAATCTTTACTTTATCAAGACCGGAAATGTACCGTCGCTTAATATATGCACATCTGTCATGCTCCCTTGTCATTGTAAAAAGATCCTACATTGCGATCGTCCAGAACATCAGATAATTTGACAAGTGATGACAAAATGGAAGGCTCAAGGTGTTTTGGTAAACACCATCGTGGCTCCCTGCATCTCTTTAAGTACACCTCACTTTAAAAAACGTTTTCTCCAAAATTTGGATAGGACGAGCTGTAGAAATTTCACTACCATCTAGATAAAGCTCTGGTCTATTAATGTAGGTAGTTTAAAGAAAAAACTTGGAGCCGTTTTGAAGAAAACGGCGAAAATGTGATTTTTAGCAAAACTMTCATTTTTGAGTTTTACAACGACAATTAGTAAAAAAACATTTATTCGATGAGTTTTTAAGATTTGATGCTGATTTTTCATCAGGCTCATCCGCAATACTTGGGAATAGATATGTGAAAACTTCGAGGTAATTCATTCGATGGGAATGTTTCAAATGCTTCAAATTCATTTTGGATCGAATTTTCAAGCGGCGCCATACTTTTTTTTTTGCCCAAGACTTTCCATCCCAATTTATACAYAGGCTGCAATAGTACTACATGACAGGATTCTGAAAAGTTCAGAAAAATCGTACCTGAGGATGAGGAGAAAAAAGCCAAAAACTAAAAATAGCACTGTTTGATTTTCGGCCGTAATAGGTTAAACATTTAAAAAATCTTMAAATAAAWTACACTGTTAGAATCTAGGATAATCCATGCACATTATATGAAAAATCCAGTTAAATTGACGAACTAGTTTTGCGACAGGAGCGAGAATAAAATTTTCCAAAATTCGCTCTGAATTGGTTTGGTTCCACTTTAAGAGGAATTTTTTTCAATCCCAAACACTAGACCTTCGTATGAGTTTTGATCCCAATTTTCGTTTTGGGTTAACACTCAAAACCTTTTTTAAACAGTAAGAAACTGATGTACTATGATAAAATGCTTGTTTGAAGCGTTATTTTCAATTGTACGAAGATGTTTTGTTGCAACAGCCTTTCCTTAAGAGAATAGTCTTTGGCGCTCACTGCTTGAATACGAAAAGAATTCTCTCTTAAAAYATATAAAATACTCTTTGAATACCATGTATTTGAAACCAAAATCGCTTTCAATATAGTTGATTGTGAACGAACGAATTTCATAAAATGTTACGTTGTAAATGTTTCACATATTTTCGTCTATTTCTTTTGTAATTTTTTCATGCTTTCATTACTTAGTAATAACACGATTTCTCGTTCGATTTGGGATGATTTGCACTCGTGGTGCGGTCTCGTGCAATTCAACTCTTTGAAAATTACACTCCTGCAAATTAATCCCAAATTGAACTCGAAACCGTGTTATTACCTTTACTAATTGAACACGTCAGCAAGTTATCTAGTTGTGAGCAAATACTTATATGTGTATGAAACACTGACAGATCTTCTATGGTGGGATGATTAACTCACTTCATATGTCGAAAGGGACCGTGGACAGAATGTTYCCACAGATAGAAGAACTACTTGACATACATAGTAAGTCGAATTTATGTTAACACACCGTCTCAATAATATGTTCACGACCAAAACTTGAGATTTCCTAGACAAAACATGATCAGGCGATCGATAATAAATAAATTGAATTCGTCTTATTGTATGTACGTATTATGTGATTGACCAACATCTTGTATTTCCAGCTTGGTTTTTAACCCGACTTAGAGAAAAAGAGGACGAAGAGACAATAGTCGAGAAAGTAGGCGACGTYTTGGAAGAACAGGTATTCCATATTAAATAGGAATAAAGCATTTCATAATTGAATTTTTGCGGTTACTGATGTTTGTTGCCTTGCAGTTCAGTGGTCAGACAGGGGAACGCATAAAAAATGCGTACGGAGAATTCTGTAGCCATCATATAGAAGCTGTGGATCTGTACAAGGTATAGTAAAAGTGCTAAATGAACCATTGCCCTAACAGTTATCATCAAACCATCAGCGAACGACAAAGTCCGGCGAGATCCTTATATACTACAATCAACTTTTTTTGGTAGAGGAAAATTCGACAAGAATTTAGGCTGCGTTCATAATGTATGGCAGGGGGGGGCAGGTGAAAATTTGAAATGTCCAGAATAATTCTTAACACCCCCCTTAAAGTCATGCAAAAAAAAATTGTTCCCCCCTAAGCAAGGCTTGTAGCTTCTTCCAAAAATTGTGCTTCCCCCCCCCCATTTTTCTGATAAAAATTTGCCTACCCCCCTCCTTTTTCCTACCAAAATGTCCCCGATTCCCCCTCAATTTCACCTGCCCCCCCCCGCCATACATTATGAACGCAGCCTTAACTGGCAATACTTTGGTGAATTAGACTTTTAAAATATTATGTGCTACAAAAAAATAATTGGTTTCTAATTCAAAAATTGTAAAATAGACAAAAATGGAGATATCTGTATAATCAAACAATCAGAAATCTAGAACAAAAAATAAATAAATCGTGCTCATAACTTACCCCAGTCTCCTACGCAGCCACTWTTTATAGGAGACTAAACTTAACCCAGTCCCATGCTTGCTTATTTCCGAATGTGTCACGCATAAACCTATATATTTTTCGCGATTCTCCTCAGAATATCAGTGATACAGAAGGATACAATATATAAGCGTTTCAATTTTCTGCTGAAATATTTATTTTAAATGCATTGTAACTGAACCCTTGAAAGAACTCGTAGTTTAGTCTCTTCCTAACATTATCAATTGCAAATACTTTACAAGCCATTTACTATAGAAAGGTGCAAGTGACTAAGGCGAATTTTTAATTTTTATTTAATTGACATTTCAAGATGTAAAGATTAGTAAGTTAGTGTGAAAAAATTTAAACACGTGTCCGGTTAAAGCGACTCAAATTTACAGGGGACAAGCGTTCTGCCGTGAACGTTTTGCCACGTGTTGTTAATTTTGGAGGTCGCTTMTTTTGCGACACTTTAATTTTGCGAAAAATAATTTTGCGAAAACTTTCTGATTTCTTTGCTTATCAATCAACAGAAGAAATTAAAAAATGACAAACGGTTTGCAGATTTCGTTAAGGTAAGTATAGTGAGTTCTTTATGGGATTCTTGATACCTGAAAATATGGTCATTAATTTCTTACTGTTACTGCACTCCGTTTTAACTTGTAGTACAAGACAAAGCTATGTTTGTTGTTTGTTCTTTTGCAGAGGTGTAGCGTAAATAAGATGTGTAGACGTTTGTCTATCCCAGAATGCATTACCCTTGTAACACAGAGATTGACCAAGTACCCTTTGTTGTTTGAGGCGATTATTAAGACGACTAAAGGTATTTGAACATCCTCTTTCTCTCTCATCTCCCTCTCTACTTCTCGAAAATACGAAGCTCTGCCTTCAGATCTAGAGGTCCACGGCTCAATTCTGAGGATCTCCAAGTAGGGTAGGTCAGGATCAAAGTTAGTRWTCTAATTTACAGACCCCACTTTTAAATGCATTAACATTTGGGGCTGTGACTAATTCAGCGGGTAGATTGTTCCATTGTTTTATTGCCCATGGTAGAAAGCTGTATTGTATATATGTTTTTTTTCTCGAGAGGAATTTTAAAGGATCTGTTGTGATTATTTCTTGAGTTTCTTGTCAAGGGTATCAGTTCATTACAGAGATCTACATCAACTAAGTTGTTTATAATTTTGTACAGCATGACTAATCTCTGGTCAGCTCTGCGCYGCTTAAGACTGCGCCAACCAAGCTCTTCCAACATCGCGGTGACACTTGCTTCACGGCTGTAGTTCTCAAGCAAATCTGGCTGCTCTTCTCTGTACCATTTCAATCTTATTTTGGTTCACTTGGGTGAATGGGTCCCACACAGTAGACGCATACTCAATTTGAGGACGAACAAGGGTTTTGTATGCGTTAGCTTTGATGTGTTTTTGGTGAATTTGCAAGTTCCGTCTCRGAAAGCCTATGGATGAATTTGCTTTCTTGACTACAGAGCATATATGTTCATTCAAAGAGAGCTTATGATGTACAGTGACACCAAGGTACTTAACTGCATCTTTTCCTTAAGAGTCTGGTAGTGTAGAACGTAATCATAGATGAGASGCTTCCTACGCCGTGTGACTCGAAGCACATTACACTTGTCAGGGTGGAAAGACACCTGCGACTTATTTTCCCATTCTTCAAGAAGTTTAAGATCTTTCTGTAAGGTGGCAGCATCGGTTTCGTTAGTCACAGTCATATACACAATAGTATCATCCGCAAATAGTCGAACTTTGGACTGTAGTTTAGCTGGAAGATCGTTGATATATATTAAAAATAGTATCGGTCCAACCACGGATCCTTGGGGCACACCGCTTGTTACTGGGGCCCATGATGACATTTGCCCTTCACATACTACTCTTTGCTGTCGCTGATGTAAGAAACCCTCTATCMATTGRTTGATGTAACTGTTGATTCCATATTCTCTGAGCTTGYGTATTAGCTTCTTGTGGGTACCTTGTCAAATGCTTTGGCAAAGTCCATAACTATAACATCTGTTTGCTTGTTTTCTCTGAGGTTCTTGTACAGGTCTTGAACAAATGTCAAAAGTTGGGTTTCGGTYGAACGCTTCGTCCTAAATCCATGTTGTAGTTTGTAAAGTATGTTGTTTGAATCCAGATGTTTGATTAARTGTTTTGTTACTATGTGTTCCATGATCTTTGATGCAATGCAGGTAAGTGAGATGGGACGGTAGTTTTCTGCATTGTAACGTTCACCTTTCTTAAAGATTGGAGTGACATTTGCCTTCCTCCAGTCCTMGGGTACTTCACCAGAATGTAGCGCTTTGTTAAAGATGACTSTAAGTATCGGTGCAACAACTGGGGCAAGCTGTTTCAGCACCCTTGGGTGAATTAGGTCAGGCCCCATAGATTAATTAGGATTTAGGTTTTCTAGTAGCTTTCGTACGCCATCTGCTGTAATAGTTAGGTCTTCAATATGAGGATATTGGCAATCTACCTCGATGACAGGAGGCTCCAGTTTATCAGGATCTGAGAAGACAGACTTGAATTGTTCATTTAAGATTTCTGCTTTGTCCTTTGCTTTGTCCCATAACGTTCCTCTATATTTCAGTGGGGACACACCAACTGAGTCTGTTTTTCGGTGTTTGATGAAGGACCACAATTTTTTATTACTTCTGTATGGCTCGGCAGATGTTTCAGGGAGAWTGTTGGTTTCTACATAGTCCCAATAAGCAGCTCTAGTCTCTTTTCTTATTTTGTGTTTTAAACTGCGTAGTTTGTTCTTAATGTTCTTTTTGTTCTTCGCTCTTGCACGTTTACTTTTGCTGTATAGCCTATCTCTTGTCTTAAGTAGTTTTCGTAGTCTTAGCATGAGCTCCTGGCTCGGGAAAATTGAGCAACCACTCCCCGCGTTATCCAAGTAAAAAAAGAGCTTTACCTTTCTTTATTTAAAACACTTTCAATTGTATTGCTATATTTTATACTCAAGTTACAGAATCATTGCCATCTATCTCATTRTTTTAGAATCCAAACAAGACTATGGTTCACTCAAAAAAGCTCTTGAACTAGTTAAGGTAATAAAGTGAACATTTGCATTTTTTAACATTTGCATGATTCGAATGAACAATAAGAGAAATAAAACAATCAYTAGCGATGTTCTTTTTTATCACTTTAAAGCAYATAAAAAACTCAGGAAACTGCCTCCATAATAGCGGCTTCGTAGGAGAATAGCAATTASCTCACTTAAAAGCAGCAATCAAAGCCGACATCACCCGTCCAGAGATCCAACAACATGCGAACGATCGGGCYGAGGCAAGACGACAAGGGATTGCTCTARGTCATTACAGAACACAGTTGCTAATGGAAGGGTTCCAGAGAARTGTAGCAACTATCACTATCGCTAAATGTAGTCAGTGGTTCAGATATATGCAAGCGTATTTGCCACGAATAAATGGCAAAAAAATTGTAGGCTTAAATAAATAAAAAATCGCTAATGATTGTTTTATTTCTCTTATTGTTCATTCGAATCATGCAAATGTTTGTTGAACCACGCTATAGAATATAACGTTGACGCTCATGATTGTCCAAGCGCGTTATAGATTGTCAATGATTATGCTAATAGCACTAATGAATTTTCACTTTTGGGTAAATGATTGTCCATAAATGCAATTGTTTGTCATTTGGTGTTATTGAAGTTGCATTTCGCGCACAAGAAAATACATTTCGCGCATATGAATGTACGAACGCGCTATTGATTGTCCATTGATGCCTATGAATGTACACGCATGTTCAATTATCGTTATTGAAAGTTGATCCGCGCTAATGATGTTACTTGTGGTGTTGATGAAAGTACATTACACGCTATTGATACAACTATTGGCACAAATGAATGCWCATTTTCTGTTCATGAACAGCAAAAGGTGTAGTATACGGCATGTCCTAGAACCTGGACTGGACTCTGGACTGGACTCTGGACTTTTCMTCTTGGACTAGACTTCCRGTTTTRCATGAAAATTATACATCTTTTCATCATTCATTCTCTTCAATACTTATACACATTTAAGATTATATCATTTATTTTCGGCAATGTTCTTTGTTTGTGTGTGTGTGT